CCGGCGGAATGCAGGCTCCGGCGGCTGAGGTGGGCCGGAGGATGTGGCGGCCGATGGCTCGGACGGTGGACGTGGCAGAACGCTGCATGGTTTTTTCTTTATTATTATTTTATTTTTATTTTAGTTTTTGTGTGTGTCTTGTTTGTGTGTGTGTGTGTTTTTTTCTTTGGTTTCTTGGGGGGATTTTGTGGCGATGTGGGATGAAGGAATTTATAAGGGTGAAGATTTGGGATGAAAATTATAACTGGGTTTTGTGGGGTTTGATTATTTTGAACGTGGAAAACTAGCCAAATTTGTTGGGGCATTTTGGTTGTCTTACAAATCAGAAGTTTGGACTGTTTGAAATTTTTTATTTATTTATTTATTTTTCTGGATTTTGACGAGGAATGTTATGAAAAGTGAAGAAATGAAGTCAGAGATTTTGATTGAATTGACCATTAGCGTTGCCCATGTGAGTGTTTAATCCTTCAAAGACGCTTTAAGGTGCAGGGCTTTTTTTTATTTTATTATTTCAATTTATTTTGTCGGGAGACGTTATGGTCTCGTTACGAAATCATCTCGTCGAAGTTTGTAACCGTTAAATCAGCTATTACCAACGGTTACATGATGATCTAACTGTTACAAACCACGACGGAATGATTCCGTAACAGGCCGTAGTATTTCCCTATTTTATTTTTACCAGTATACTTTTAGAAAAAAAAAGTTTGGGTTTTCTTATTGCATTTAATTTTTTTCTTTTTTACTAATTTCCATCGTGTTTTAATTTGTTCTGTCAGTCATTTTATTCTATATATTTTAATATTCTATATTAATATTCTAAAGTTTTATAACTATGGAAAAATACCAAAGTCCCGTAATAGGATGGTTTCTCAATTGTTTCAACCAATTAGATTAGGCTAGTAATAATTATGAATATCCAACGTTAAATTGAATGAACGGAATCATAATGTTACGGTACTGATTCTCAATTGTTTCAACCAATTAGATTAGGCTAGTAATAATTGTGAATATCCAACGTTAAATTGAATGAACGGAATCATAATGTTACGGGATTGTAGTCACCCCTCAATGTGACTGCATGCATATTATATTCTTTTGAACATTCAAATTCAAAATATTAATGTTCTCATTTGGTCAAAATAGATCAGCATTTGCATGGTGCATATATTTTGGTGGATGGAGGGGCTGCAAAATAAAATAAAATAAAATAAATAAATAAAGCTTTTGATAATTGGATAAATTATGTTCAGACCATTGTGTTGTTAAAACCGAATCGGACCAATGGAACTTGGAACCGGTCCCTTGACTGCTCATGTCATCTTAAATGTGACGTGCGTAGATTATTAAGTATTAACTGACGGATAAATAAATAATTATGTGTGCACTTTTTTTTGGGTACAAAGAGGCGAGGGCTTAGGGAATATTAAACGACAATTCGACGGAGGTAAGATACCTAATAAGATCGTGGTCCAACCACACACCCAGTCCTACCGGCGGAGAAACCACTCGTTGCAGCCCGAGGGGAATAGAAGATGCTACGCTCGTCATGTGGACTGCCGCAAAATTAGCCTCCCGGCTCCCGATGAACGTGTTGGATCTGGGTGGTCTATAACTTTATCGAATTCTTTTTATTATTTTATTAACTTGTGAAATTATTTTGAAAAAATATATTTCAATGTACTAACTGCTATACTAATGTAGTTAGAACTTTTTTTTTCCTGTAATGATCACTTGTATTAACATAAAACTAAAGTTTTATGTTCGAATTTTAAGTACTCATCACAAGGGTATTAATTAAAATTTTACACTTAATAACATAAAAAAATAAAATAAAAATAGAAGCTTATATTTTATATTTTTAAATGCTTATAAAAAAAATGCATTGATATATTTTATTTGGCGTTACATATGTAACGAATGGCTCGTCATATATTATAGTTTTTCGAAACTCATCATATAATACGTTTGATAAATGTAAAAGATTTGTACAAGCCCTAATTTTTTTCTCGCTTTTACCCAAATCCTTCGTCCTCCGTCTCTTTTCTTGGTTGCTCGTGCACCTTCCTCAGCGGCTAGTCGGGCCTTTGCAGGCGGTCGGCCCTTGGCCACACGACCGTGGCTCCAATTTTTTGTTTAATTTTTGTTTTAGTATGTTTGTTTGTTTTTGTGCTCTAGGTATTGTGGTTTGTTAGGTTTGTGTCTTTTGGTTTTTGTTTTTTTCTCCCAAGTGGGATCATATATTATCCTATCTGGGATTGTTGATTCTCCATTATTAGAGCTTTGTGGTTTCTTTTGGTGTTGTGGGTGTGTTGTCTAGTGTTAGCTAAGGTTCTAGGCGATCATCGGATCTGTCCTCCTATTTTTATTCGTCTTATTGATGTTTTATTCAGCTGTGTGTTGTTTCTCTGTTTGTACATTTGTGGATTTTTACAAAATATCTATCGTTTCGAAAATATATATAATACATATATATATAGATATAATACGTTCGATTATTAAATTTATTTAAATGATAAATAATAAATTTGTTACTTTTCAATTAAGGTTGGTAGATCATTTAGTTATTATTTATTAACTATATAAAATAAATTTTTATTCTATATATGTAATATGAATGTCAAAATGATGGTCGTTGCAAAATAATTAAATTGATTTATCATATATGAACAACAATAATAAATAACAAAGCTATTAAGCATCAAAATATATTTATAAATTAAGTTCCACAAATGTTTTATAATTTTAATAATTATGAGGAATTTGAAAGTTTAAATTTAATATATTATTTAAAACCACCAAAAACGGATATATAATATTCACCCAGGGACGGACCAACCTAGCGCCCACAGGAGCATGCAATATGAAATCCTAAGGGCATATATATAGTATAACCTATATTATGGCATAGGTTGGCATCCTTAGCGCCCTTCTAATTCATCTCATTATGGTCCTTGACCCCCCTAAGTCCACTCTCCATGAGCTCGATCAAATCATGGCTCATTATTTTTGTGGACAATGAGAAGGCTCCCGGTGGGGGAGATAGCACCACAGGGTGAAGTGGGACTTCATTTTTCGGCCTTTTTCCGAGGGTGGCCTTGGGATCCACCACTTTTCTGACGTAGTCACTTCTTTCTATTACAAAATGTGGTGGCGCTTCAGGAAGGGTAAGTCGTTTTGGGCTCAGTACCTTCGCGGGAAGTACTGCCTTAGAGGTGCCTATCATCCCTGCGAGGTGACGGCCACCAGTTGTGATAGTCGACAGTGGAGGCGGCTCACCAAGGTTGGTAGGCCTGTCCAGGAGCACATCTTATGGACGCTGGGTGAGGGGGATGTTAGCTTTTGGGACGAGTGGTGTTTGGTGAGGAGCCCTTTTCGAGCACTAAGCAGGTCACTCACTCTCCATTCATGTGGGTGAAGGACTTGTGGACCAATGGGACAAGGGATAGGGATAGGCTAGAGAAGGTTTTGGGTTCTCGAGCGGGTTTTAGTGATCATATTTTAGAGTAGATCCAAAAGATTCCCATCTCGGAGGACCGTTTGGACGGTATGAGGTGGAGACCTACATCTTTGGGTGGTTTCTCTATGTCCTCAGCTTAGGGAAAAGTTCGGCAGAGTGACCGGCCTCGCCTTCTCTTCTGAGCCATTTGGACTCACCTACTTACCGTGACCATCTTTGTCTTCCTTTGGCGCCTTCTTCTACGTCGGATTCCGATTGACTCTGTGTTGCAAGCGAGGTGGGATTATTCTCCTCGCGGTGCTACTGTTGTACTGAGAGCGGTGACTGAGATTTTTCTCTTTTGTTTTAGAGAGCGAGGCTGCGAGGAGAGTGTGGAGGTATTTGCCACATATACTCATATACCTCTTCCCACTATAGATAGTTTTGTGCTCTTTAGTTTTTTCTCACAACGCACACAATTTAGACACGTGGGCTTCTTCATTGCTTGTTTGATCATTTAGTTCATCTAGACAGAGAGGAATAGTGCGAAACATAGGGATATTATTTTATGTGCTCTCACATTATTTTGCAGGTTGATCGACATCTCTCCCTCCCATTGACGGCTCTAGGGGCAGGCACCATAGGCCCATGTCTAGGGCCTCCAATTATTAGGGGCCTTATTTTTTTAATGTTATGTTTTTGTGTTTGATTTTGTTTATTCACAATAAGTGGGCTAATGACTAAATATGAACTCGGCCCATTGCACAAAGGGTAATGCTACATAGCCCACTTGGTTGACAACTTGAGTTATAACTTAAGTGTAAATGCATTATCAAAAAATTAAAAAAATAATATATTTACACTTATGTTGTAACTTAAATTGTCATTCAAATGGGGCTGTATAGCATTATTCTTACACAAAAGGGGCTAATTAATGAAGGTCTAAGGGACTAATAGCAAAATATGTACTTTGTGTAGGAATTTGAGACCATAAATATTTCATTTGTTTTCTTATGATGTTCGGTCAGAAAAAGTTGTATGAGAATAAATATTTTTTGTTGTAATATGATTTTTATTTTCTCTTCTCTGTTGCATTCGTGACTGCTTGAACACAATTTATAATTTATTAAAGGTAATTTTTTCAAGTTCTAGAAAAATAAGATTTTTTTTTTTTTTGTCAGTTGTTTATTTATTTAATAGTCTTGATTAATTATAATTTTTTCTTGTCTGAGTATCTACAAATAGTCCTACCATGCAAGTTCAAATCGAGAAATTTGAAAAAGTAAATTTATCTGGGACCTCCAAATTTCTGGAGACGGCCCTGCTCCTTCCTCACAGCTCTAGGCAGACTCACGCCTAGAGACTGGACAGGTTGCACGTCCTCTCACGTTCATGTCTTCTCCGCTACTACCTGTCCAACACCCACGACCTAGAGTCGTTGTTTGGCTAAGACTCGGCCTCTTTTGGGTTAAGCTAAACACTGA